TATATATATATATATATATATATAACTGTAAAGTTAGATTTAAAACATAAAATCTAAAATTTTACTACAATATTTTTCTAGTAAAGTTCTGGCAACAGCTAAGTGGACTTTTATGTAAAGTTTTTTTCCACTTTCACTGCATGAAAAACCGTTTACAGATTGTTAGTTAACTCATTTTGTATTCCACTAAAGTCATAAACAATCAGATTTGGTCTGACATGACGGCAAGTAAATGATGATCATTTTTGGATCCCTGTCAGATATCTACCCACACAAGCAGACACCATAGGTCATCATAATCAACCCAAAATGAGTAAAAGTTCATAATACCAAAACAGAAAGATAAAACAGAATATTAAATTTCAAAGAGAAGAACTGGAGTGATTAAGTGTTTAATTGACTAAAGGAAACAGTGTGGCACGTCCTCCCAGCATGACCTCTCCGTCTCCCAGAGTCCACCAGGGCCCCGGCTACAGCAACTCCACGCATTAGCGTCATTCATCATCCCGCACTGAATATTCATGGGCAGGGCCAGAGGGTCATCGTTTCTTGCTGGGGGTTAATGGGCATCAGATCAGGGGTGGGGCCGTAATTTGATTCCATCGCCATGGCAACTTCACCCTAATCAACCTCCGTAGGAGGTGAAGAACAGTCTAATGAAGATGCTGTGACTCCCTCGCACTGGCTTTGTATTAAAGTTGATTAGCATGCGCTACTAACGGTGAGACCTCATCACAGTGGAATGTTTCCAAAGGATGATAAAGATTATTATAACAGAGACGAAAGCCGCTTGACTGCATAATGGGCCCGGTCAGTGTGAAAAATGGGTTTCCAAGAATGGTTTTTCAGACTAAATGGAAGGAAAACACTTTCAGGAAGAAAAGGAAAAATGCATTTAGAATGCAATATCGTGCAGGAATCAATAGCAGCATTTCCTATTCAGCCAAAATTTTATGCCAGAAAGTTTGTCAGAACGGCTCTGTTCCAAAACTAAGTGAGCTGCTTATCGAAACAGCAATTTTAGGCATCAAAATGCTTTGGATATGAAGACGTAAAGATGTAAACAGGATGACAGAAAATGATTAACGCAAGCATCACTTTTGCTGTTGCTTAAACTGCAGAAGGAGATCTTGGAAAATGCTAACTTTAGCCTGATAGCACTGAAAGCGAACGTCCCACCCTCTCTGCAATCGCCATCCAAAGCCATGCCCCCTGAACGCATTTACGCTAACAGACCAGAGTACCAGAGACAACATTACTACAATAGGCTACATCAGCGGTTCCCAATTCCAGTATCTCTTATCACGTGCAATGTTTGTTCTATTCGACCGTAAGTGCCCTGCGAAGTGGACATCACCGGATATTCCGCCATGATTCCAGTTCGAAGCGAGTGTATATATTCTATACAAAGGGCATTAAAGTGTGCGACATGTAAAATTTAAATAGTATTTATTTACAGAGGTATATTATGTCACACTTCACACTTCTCTAGTAAGTTCCGTCTGTGTGTGAAGACGCTGCGCAGTGCAAATCTGTGAATTCCACCTGCTCAGGGAGTAGGGAGCAATGAACACTGTGTAGGGATCATATCGATCGGACACAGTTCACGCACGTAGCTCACTTCTAATGAGCTGGTTATCTGAATCGGGTGTGTTAACTAAGCAAGACATGCAAAATATGCAGAGCAGGGTGACGCGAGGACTGGAATTGGGAACCGCTGGGCTACATCATGTGTCATTCACCGGTGAGAAAACTTTATAGTACAATTAGTAAAAGTACTACAATAACAGGAAGGAAGATCGGGTTGTTGATGTTTGTCTGCCATTCTTGCTCTGTCTGCACAGCGTGCGTGAACGCATGCTGATGACGTATCCTGTCTGCACGAACAGGGTGTGCAGAGGTATGCTAATACATACGTTGACCGGCAGGTAGGAAAGCCAATTAAAACGCTCGGACCAAGCGTTCTGATTGGACGAACATTTCTTGGTCCTACGTCTTCCACAGAATATATAAATACAGATAAATACATTTAGACCACTTAACTTAATAATTGCTATCGGGATGAGAAGAGACTTTCAACCAGCATAACTAAAAAAATGTCTTTAGACAATCACCTATTGCACATTTAAGTGCAACTCTTTAACTCTTATTTGTCATGTTGCGCCGCATCCAGTGTAGACAGCATCAATGATTTTAATGGGTTCTATGGTATTTTGTCACGCTCGCGTCCGGTGTAGACACAGTGCAAGCATTAAACTTCAGCACATAACTAGTCCAGCACTGTCTGTGCTACAGAAACCTCAAATCAAGGAAGGTGGTATTATTACTTTTCGTAAGTGATCCAACTTATTTTCGCCTGGTGGACAACAAATTCAGAGATTTTAAGAGTTAGCAACTACCCAGAACACCCTAACAACTCCATAGCAATATGCTTAAAAAACACTCAGAACACCTTAGCAAAAGCATAACAACTCCCTGGCACTAACAACATTAATGTATTTTCATAAATATAAAATAACCAGAATCTCTCCTCTAATACACAAAGACACTAAATTTTCATGCATCTTCATGTGTCAAAATCTGCAGATCTATATTTGTAATTTGTCTATCCATATCACAACAAAAGCACACAGACCATATGAATAAAAACAATAAATTAGAAAGCAGCTCGGAGGAAAATATCAAATCATTTTTCCATGTCCCTAATAGCTAAACAGCTGAATTCTGCCAACAACTTCTTCCCCAGAATAACTATTTAATTCCTAATAAACTTAACCAGTTTTAAGATCTCAAAAATGTGAAAATTCAAATGAACGAAGCAACTTAATCATTAATAGCTTTGAATATCATATGAATATTTTATTAGCAATTATTCAACCCCTGCGGAGTAAGAATTTATAATCTGTTCCATTTATGCGTCTAGACTTATTATTATGCTTATCATTTAAATAAATAAAAAAATTATAAGATTATGCTATGCAAAATGTCCATTTATGACACAAATGGCATGAATATTAATATTAGGTAAAATGATTCATATTAAGTAGGGCAGATGTAGTTATTCAGTCAGGGTTATTGGTTTATATTGTTTCACAGCTTGTTACACAAAAAGTGGGGGAAAAAAGAAGTAAATGTGTCAAACTGGTTCCAAACTGGAGCCAAAGCTCCTGAAATAGTGATGATGTCATTAGTGTGTACACCAATCCACTCAAGGCAGGGAGGGCAGGCTAAACAAGTCCCAGCTAAACGTCTTTTTAGCACACTGAAGTAACTTGTTTTGCTAGTTCCCACTGCTTCTAGATGTCCAGACAGCTCAACAAAACGTGGCAGACTCCAAATATATTACAGTAGATTTAGTTAATTACACATCATAATCAAATGAAAACTAAATTAATAATGAACTAAACCTGAACTCGGAGATGGCCACTGCTATAGACAAAGTCACTTGCAGGAAACGTAACTGCATTCAAACATACCGTACATTTTAGAGCCAAACATGCTAGATAACAGTATTCATAAAACAGAAAAAAACCTCTCTGCCCAGCTGTAGTGTTTGTGAATAAGTACCACTGTAGACTTACCTTGTCTTTGTCCTCCACCAGGTCTGTCAGCATGTCATCTGGGTCCAGGATCCCCCCATCAACATACTCCACATGGTGTGTCCGCACCAGGAATTCCCCATCCTGTTGAAAACAATAGGTCCATTAGAAGTCCCCCGTTCAACAACAATACAAGAGACTAACGATGAGTTAGGAAGTTTTGGATAGACAGCATGCTGCTTTGTTCTTATAATTAATAGAAATCATGCTTCTGCAATCAAAGGACGTCCAAAAGTATTAGAAGATAAAGAGATCACATTATATGTATCATTATTAAATGAATAGGCTTGTTCTGACTCTGAAATTTGATTGGACGAGCTACAGACTAATTATTTATTGTATTTACTAATCAAATTAATAATTTATTTAACACCATGTTTTTGTTGTTGCCACTTTACCACAGTAAAAATCACTGTAACAATCTCAATTTCTTTGAGAACCACATTATTGCACAAAAGTATGGGTGCTCCGATTGTTCGGCTACCAATCACTATCGGCCGATAATCGCTTTGGGATGATTGATCGGCGGTCTCTAAAAAGGCCGATCTCAAGCTGATGACGCGCCTGCCGTGAGAGTTTTGGCATGACATGCAGCGGCACGTCTCAGTCTCTGTCCGGCGCGGGTGAAATAATTATAATGCTAAAGGTGAGGTACTCACCTTCATATTTCTTCGGATGAAACCGTTCACACTGCACACGGTTACGGTCCGGCAGTGCGATCCAGGAGCAGTGCGTCTGCAGCAGTGCAGAGATCGTTATTTTTGCTGCGCTGCAAGAGCTGAATTAATTTAACAGCGCATTGTTTGCAGTAATTATATGAACATGGATTGACACGAAAATGTAGTAATTACACCATAAATGCATATTATTAATGTCTACTGTGTTTCACAGTCAACACATTAGGCTTTTTGGCTAGGTTTAAAGGGAAAGAGCACTTTTAGATAAACAAGGCAATAATAGATGGCACTCGTGGAGGTAGGAAAACAAAGTTCTTTATGAACCGCAGGAAGATTTAAATGCAAAAGAAAAGGCAGTAGAGCTGACTATTTCTGTCAATGGCAAGGTTGTGATAACGTAAGAACGGTAGTTTAAATGTTTTGCCACTTGCTTGAGCAACCTAATATATAAATCTATAAATAAATGCAAAAGTAAAAAGCACTGAATAATGTGTTGTTTAAACACAATACCTATAAGCATGTCTGTGAAAGATTGTATTACTGTACTGTGTAAAAAAAGAACCACAATGCTGAAAAAGCATTTTAAGTAACAATGTTTGGATTTGAAATCAAAATAATGGATAAATGTTGTGTTTGTGGTAAACAGCCACGGATCAGTAGCGGACTCCTGTGTGAAAGCTGCTTCTCCTCTCACAAGAGTCACCTAAGAGGGGAATTCCCCCCATTTTCAAAAATGAAATTCAGGCCCTGAATAAATGTCTAAAAATTCTGATTGGAGTATAACTATAAATAGTTATAAATGATAAAAAGAAGGCTTTAAAAAAATCGGTATCGGTATCGGCATATACTGCTTTCTGTGATCAGCGATATGTGATCAGCCTCAAAAACCCTGCTAATATGAATATACTGACAACTAAAGTCTGTTATTCACTGTACAATATGGCCTTGAGTGCCTTATTGCTTTTTTTAAAGACAGGCACATCAAAGCAAGAAATCTTTTCAAAAGCTGTGATAAATCACAACTAGCCAAAATATTATATACAATAAAAAAAAAAAAATACAAATACATACATATACTTCTGTTCAAAAGTTAGTTGTTTTTTTTTTTTTTTTAAAGAAATGAATAATTTTACTCAGCAAAGATGCATTAAATTGATTAAAAGTGTTGGTAAAGACTTTTATACTGATCATTTTTTTTTAATTATAAAAAAAAATGCTTTTGAAATTTCTATTCATTGAAAAATTAATCACTTTTCCACAAACATTGCTTTCAACATTAATAATAAGAAATGTTTCTTGACCCCGCAAATCAGCATATTAGAATGATTACACTTCAAAATATATTCAGACAGAAATGTCATTTTTAATTGTAATAATACTTAAACATAAATAAAACAGATAAAATGCTGTGATGAATTTCTTCCACTGGCCCTGACAAGACAACAGGATGAGATGGGTTACAGGTTGAAGGAGAACTTCAATTTATGGTGGGAACAAATACCATCATGTGTGTACACATGTAATCCGATAAGGTAAGTCATAGTTGTGAGTTTGTCATAGTTTGAATACCATCAGCTCATTACCAAACAAACTCGCTGAACGACTTTCCTAGTTGGATTAGGGGGGGGACTACTACAATGGTCTGAGAAAACGTGTTTGGCTGGTAATGCATGACATAACAGATCCAGGTCAATGCCTTTTCAGTGGAAACCTCAATGAAACTGTAAACACACATGACAATAAATGCTACAATCATCATGTCATGTAATCATGCTGAATGTCAAACAGCAGTCAACAAAACTAGTGCACTTTGATACAATGCAAGTCATTTTGTGAAAACTGCATACGTTTTATTTATTTATTCATTTATTTTTTTATTAATTTAATCTATGATCGTCTTGAAGACATCGAACAAACCAGTAATATTTTGCACCATATGCCAGCAAAAGTGTATAATTTCATAACTTTTATGGAGTTACATTATACCAAATGAAAAACGTTTCAACGTTTAATGAAATTACATATTTTTTCTGATACATAAAATAAGCTGCTAAAAATAATTTTGACTTTTTTTAATTAGGTCAGTGAGAACAGAATGTACAGGACTCAATAGAAAAACTACACTACATTGAAAATCTAGATTTTTTTTTTTAAACCTTAGCTTAAACAAAGTGTATAGTATAGTATAATTTTAATGAATGCCATGTCAGCATCTGGGGCTATTTTCATGGCAAAACTCAATTAATAATGCAAATATCCCATAAATACAATAAAACCAAGCAAACAAACAAACACAGCAAGTAATATTATACAAGATTTGTTTAATTAACATATGACAAAAATTCTAAAACTTTTTCAGGCAATTAAACAATGTGTAAGGATTTTTACAAATATATATTACATCAAATCTAACATATTTAAGAATTTTCTGTACTGAATGGTGTAGGATACTTTGAAACAATTTTCTCTCAAAATTTGCTATTAAATTTCATAAATAATTACAAAGAAACTGCAAGTAACATTGAATTTTAAAATGAAATGCTGAAGCAGAAAGTCTGACTACTACTGACTACTTACTATTTTCTTGTAAAACATACTCCAGTAATTTTTTTTTATTTACAACTTTGAAAAAATAAAACATGTCACTGATCATCCGACTCCTTTGTTGAGATGGTCAGAAGTTCTTCTAGCTTAAACTGAAGAATACGTTTCTCTTTGCAAACAAGCACATACCCTGTAGAATTTCAAAAGAAAACCAGTGCTCAAACAAAACCAATCCAAACCTCTATATTTGTTCATAAAAACAGCTACAATCCTCACAAACACTTTAAAATGGAAGCTGATGCCATCTGGGCACAAAAAAAGCAGTTCCTCCAATCCAGAATGAAAAAGTGACACTCAAACCAATCCAGATTAACACACACACACTGATATTTTTTTGTGAAGGCGCTTTCTCCGCCTCAGTCCCAGCAGAAAGCAGCAGTCTACATCCACCCTGCTGGCGTGGAAAAGTGTTCATGCTGTTTAGGCAGATATGTCTGTCTGCTGGGACTGTTTTCAGCTTCATGAAACCATCTGAGCAACATTTGCCATGGAAGAAGAACACACCTGGTGCGTTTTTACACACACCAGCTCCCATAACACTAGGGGAAAAGAAAAACCTTTAGACATTTAAACAAGACACATGGTCCGACAGCTGAGGTTCAAGCTTCCCACAGCAAAAACTGGAAATATTCATTCAGATTCATTATCAGTAATATTACATTATGCCAGTGACCTGGAAATATGGAGTATGCACAATATGGAGTGTTGTTGTTGTTGTTCGTTTTTTTTGCTAAGGCAAGCGCATTATGATTACTTTTGTGTAAGGGTTAATGATCTGAACAAACCCCTAGCGCAAAGCACTAAATGTCAGCAAAACTCATCCTGCATGGTTTGTGCTACAACTCCTCAAATCACGTGGCTTATTACACTTACATTTTTTGGATAAACTAACCGAAAAGACTTGCATTTTGCAATCATGGAATACACATTTTTACATTTGCTTTGACCTTACAGTCATTAATCAATTATGGCTAAACTGTCTTAACATTTTCAAACAATTTTACCTTCATAATCTGATGTATTCCAAAGAGAGCTGGGACAAAGAAAAAATGACTGGATGGTGAAAAGTGAGTGAATGGAGGAGTGTTTGGAGCAGAGGGGTTGAAAAATAAGGTTTGGGCTTATACTTTTAGAGGGCTTCGACGTAACCAATATGAAAAGTCATTTCAGAAGCTGAGCAATTCTGACGAGTGATTTCAAAGACAAACTTTTCTGCTTTGGAAAACATGCACAGATGAACAGTGGACAGTAATAGCAGTAATATGCATTAATGATGTAAATACGGTCACTTTAAAAGGAACAGTTCACACAAAAAATAAATGTTTGCTGAAAATGTACTCACCCTCTAAGGCAATCTAAGATGTAGATTTGTTTTTTTCTTCATCGGGAACAGATTTGGAGAAATGTATCATTACATAACTTGCTCACCAATGGATCCTCTGCAGTGAATGGGTGCCATCAGAAATGAGAGTCCAAACAGCTGATAAAAACATCCCAATAAACCACAAGCAATCCATCCACAACTCCAGTCCATCAATTAACATCTTGTGAAGTGAAAAGCTGCATATTTCTGAGAAACAAATCCATCATTAACACAATTTTAACTTTAAATAGTTGCTTCTGGCCAAAATATGAGTCCATAATCCATATTAATGATGCTTCCTGTTGTCCTCTCACGTCAAAATCCAATGACATATTTGCTTAGAACTGTTTTGGACTGTTTTTGGTTGCAAACAGTGCTTGATCTGTGCAGATTTCTCTCCTGATTCAGACGAGACAACTTTTTCACTGGAGAAAGCAGTATTATGGATTGAGGAGTTATATTTTAGCTTAAAACAACGATTTGAAGTTAAAAACATCTTAATGATACATCTGTTTCTTACAAACAGGCAGCTTTTCACTTCACAATACATTAGCTGATGGACTAAAGTCGTGTGAATTACCTGTAGATTATTGTGATGCTTTTATCAGCTGTTTGGACTCTCATTCTCACGGCACCCATTCACTGCAGAGGATCCATTGGGGAGCAAGTGATGTTTCCATGAAAAAATGAAGTTTCCATGAAGAAACAAACTCATCTACATCTTGGATGGCCTGAGAGTGAGTACATTTTCAGCAAATTTTCATTTTTGGGTGAACTATTCCTTTTAAGCATATGCATAGGAATGGTCCTGTAGGACTTGATATTGCATATCCATTGTGACATTTAATGCCAGAGCAATTTGTTGTAGTGATGGCTGCTGACGCCGAAGGCTTTGTGCTCTTGGAAGTGTGCCACTTGTAGTGATCTCAGCAGTGCTGCCTGCCAAGTCAGCTCTCCAACCATCCTGAGGTTAGCAGCGCCCTGACCGAGCCCAGCTATGGCAGGATAATAAAGCAGTTTTCCTCTGCTGTCAGTGAGGTAATCTCAACCAGTGTGTGAGATCTTGCTGGACATGAAAACATTATTGAGTGGGACAGAGAGTTTTACTTCACTGTGGACTAACTATATTTTCAAAAGCATAGCAGTAGCTCAGCAGGTTGAATAAGGTAGATTTACCAGTAACCAGTACCAAAAAAAAGGAAGTTTGTCTTATAATAAATTCACCAAAAGCTTTTATTTCTCAACCTCTCCCCTCCAAACACCTGTAATAGAGACCACTTTTTTTCTGTATGTTTTTAAACTTTAAAATTGTCTGCCAATTGCAATAAATAACAAAAAAATTGTTCTTTCTTCAGTATATCATATAGATGTATAGTTATTTCAATAAAGATATATTGCCCCCCTTAGCTTCAATGTACACTACCGTTCATAAGTTTTGGGTCAGCATGTTTTTTTTTCTCTCTCTGAACAATCATGTGACATTGAAGACTGGATTAATGGCTGCTGAAAACTCAGATTTGCATCACAGGAATAATTTATATTTTAAAATATATTCTAATGTTTTAAATTTTACTGTATACATTACGTTATACAGTTTACTGTATTTTTTATCAACTAAATGCAGCGTTGGTAAGCATAAGAGACTTCTTTCAAAAACATTTAAAAGATCCTACAACTGGCAACACATATTAGTCAGCAATTATAATTGTCAATTGAACATAAAATATGCAGAGATTTTGATCTTTGGTTACAATGCACAACCACTGCAAATACAAGTTGCATCCTAAATGGAACTGGAGTAGATATAAACGGGAAGCAAAAAATCGTAACTGTGCAGCCCTGGTAGAGTTAACCTTAAACTTATTCAAATAATCATGCAACCACATTCACAAAATGGGACCCTGGCCTTCATTAATAATGCATAATGTGATTTCATTGTTGGCATCATTATAAACCGGCCATACCATAAACTAATAACAGCTCATATCTCAAAGTAAATGTAAAATTAAGCATCAATCCATAGCAGAGTCACATTTGCATCTCAAAATTTACAATTAACATCAACACAAATTTTCCATTTGTTATGCGAATATGCACAAGGTCTAATCAAGGAGAACTGCATCACGGACGCACCGCTATCATAGATGAAGGGCTCAATACTTCAGTGACTCACGAGACCAGAGAGGTGGGTTGACAGAATAGATAAAGCTCCCACGTCTACCCCAGCACGCCTGGCACTGTCCCATCCCATCCGACTGAACCAATCTCAGCCGATAACATCCATCAGTCAGGCATACTAAAACCTCCCATAAAGCCAGCCATCTCAGCCCGAGAGCCCAGGCCAAACTAATCAAACACAGCCTGCCACCTGCATGTGGAGATAGGGAGCGATTAATGACACGGTTGTGTTCGTCACGTAAGTCCCGCTTTATTCCAACTGGCATTTAGTGCAGAAGCTGGACAAAAGGAATAGAATAGTTAACGGTGACCAACCATTGCAGTATTGACTGGTGCTCACTGAGGAAAACATAAACACGTACGGATATCAAAGATATCCCTCTATAGTGGAATATAGTTGAGGCGTGTTTGTTTATTTATAAATGAATAATGAAATTTAGAAGATCTGAGTATTGCATTAATGAATTAGAAGATCTGAAAATTGCACAATTTATTATTAAGAAGCAATATTTCTCCCATTATAACAAAATATTAAAATAAATGCAATGCACAACCTTTTTATATGCATTCTCAATCTGAACAATCATGGCGGTTACTTATAAAAATAAAACATCATCAAATACTGCAAATAACAAACACCAAAATAAACGTAAATAATGAAAAAGATATAATCGCCCAATAAACGGTCTGCTAGAACACATTTTACACATTTAAGTTGTAATTAAAACAAAGATTACTGCGAAGATTACTGTTTTACAAGAAAATGCTATTTCTGTCTTTTTACTTCAAAATGTCATGTTTAATTCAATTACTTTGCTACTTTCCGTTTATACAACCGTATATACAATATATAGACAATAGACGTGTGTGTGTGTGTGTGTGTGTGTGTGTACTGGTTTATATATCCTTAAACCTGACTACACACAGACTCATGGGGACTCGTGTCACGGGTGGGGACCTAAATTGTGGTCCCCACGGGTACAAAAGCTAATAAATCATACAGAAAGAAGTTTTTTGAAAATCTAAAAATGCAGAAAGTTTCCTGTGAGGGGTAGGTTTAGGGGTAGGGTTGGTGTAGGGCAATAGAATATAGGGTCTATACAGTAGAAAAACCATTACGCCTATGGGATGTCCCCACTTTTCACAAAAACAAACCTGTGTGTGTATGTGTGCACTGGTTTATATATATATCCTGGTGGGGACTTAAACCTGACTACACACAGACTCATGGGGACTGTCACGGTGGGGACCTAAATTGTGGTCCCCATGGGTTCAAAAGCATATAAATCATACAGAATGAAGTTTTTTGAAAATCTAAAAATGCAGAAAGTTTCCTGTGAGGGGTAGGGTTGGTGTAGGGCAATAGAAAATACGGTCTGTACAGTATAAAAACCATTACGCCTATGGGATGTCCCCACTTTTCACAAAAACAAACCTGTGTGTGTATGTGTGCACTGGTTTATATATATATATCCTGGTGGGGACTTAAACCTGACTACACACAGACTCATGGGGACTCGGGTCACGGTGGGGACCTAAATTGTGGTCCCCATGGGTACAAAAGCATATAAATCATACAGAATGAAGTTTTTTGAAAATCTAAAAATGCAGAAAGTTTCCTGTGAGGGGTAGGGTTGGTGTAGGGCAATAGAATATAGGGTCTGTACAGTAGAAAAACCATTACGCCTATGGAGAGTCCCCACAAGGATAGCTGACCAGACGCGTGTGCGTGTGCGTCTGTGTGTGTGTGTGTGTGTGTGTGTGTGTGTGTGTGTGTTAACTGTCTTAACCATTCACACTAAAGTGAAGTGAAAGTCACTGCTGGTAACAGCCAGGTCATACGATCGAATTCAGTACCTAATTTCCCAGACATATACTGTGCAGTCTTAAAGATCATATTTGCATATTTGAGGCGCTGGACAAAACTTTTACCCCAGTATCAGACTGCAGAAATGCCTAGAGATAATGAATATTCAAAACATTAGCCAGAAATCTGACAAATGTCAGTGTTGACAGCTCGAGATCACGTGATCTGAGCTTGCGGGCACACCCAGTTAACAATCGTACTATGGTGAAGGATTACTTACGTGGAATTAATGAGCTTCGCTTAACTCTTCGCAAAGTTCTCAAGCAGCCTCAAGTGGAGTCTAATTAATAATTCATGAACCATGCCTTCGTCATAGTAGGATTCGCTACCCCGGTAAACAGGTGTCGTTTTTTATCAATAATTATAATCAGTTGTCTCAAAGTAATCATATTTATACAATCCACAGGGAATAATCGAATCGACACATTTCTGTTTATCTGTTCTTCAAACTTAAAAACAACACGTTACCTGTTCAATAATCTTCTTGTATCTTTGAGTGGCTTGAACGATCAAATCCCGTACCATCCAGTCGTCTTTACACGGGACGACAATCCTCGTTTCCCCGAAATTCACAGTAACTTTCATCTTAACTGCGTCATCAAACGTTCAAATATCCCCGTGGTTTGTTTACAGCAGTTTCTCTTAAAGCGAGCGCTGAAGAGACAACAGGTGTCATTGGTCAACTGTTACAGGTGATCTTCTTTCTCTTTAAGGTGCTACTAAAGCCAATATTAAGTCCATGAAGGGAATAAGCGTCCAGTGATCATTCCAAACCACACTTTGAATAGGATTAAACAGTCCTGGATGGCAGAGAAAAGTCTCGATATATTTTTCCCGAGTTCGCGCGCGCTGAGGTCCAGAGTGAAACCGGAAGCGGCAGAGAGTGAATAACTCTGACTATCGGGATTGACGGGCGGCCTGCTTTATGAAGCTATACAGGCCAAGTCCCCATAGAGAATCATTACTGCGGAAAGGAGGGTGTACTTTCACTGCTAAGTGGCTTGCCATAGAATGAATAAGTAGCACTAAAGTTAGAGAATCGCACATGTTCTGAATCTAAGAGAATAAAAATGGAGCTTCTCCTTTGCTTGTCAGTTAGTAATCTCTTATAATGACGTTTGTATAATCAAAATATCCAGAAATATCAAAACTAGATATGAAATGTTTGACAGTCTTTAGCTGTTGGAGGAGATCTGCCTTTAAAAGATGGATGGATGGATGGAGTTTCTGTTTGGTTTGGAATTTGTTTCATTTTAATAAGTTTATAATAGGTATTTTAATTCCAGGTTCCAGCGGTGACTACATGCCCCACTAATTGCCAACATGTTTTAAATGATCTGGATCCTTTTCCTAGGAAACAACAGTGGAAATAGCTATTTTGTAGCAGAGACTTTAAGGTATGTATGCAAAAATTGATTATTAAACATAAAGCTTTGAGAAATATTAACAGCATTGAGTAAAACATTTGACTACTAGGATGTGCAATCAAATTACAAAGTGCATCTAAATTAAAGGGGACCTATATGCAAAATTCACTTTTATAAGGTGTTTGAACACAGATGTGTATCCACAGTGATAAAAATCCACCCAATCCTTTTTTTATAATCCCTATAAATCATAGACATTGTGATTGGCTGAATACCTCAAGCGTCTGACAGAAATGTTACGCCCCTCACCACATTGTGATGATGCCCTGTCCGGCCGGAGCGATCATTCAAAAACATGAAAACCCATTATAAACGAGGCATTCGTTGCATCCAGTGGGGACATAATTATGGATTATAATGATTTGTAGTCTTTTTACGCGTTGCGTTGCATCGCACCGTGTAAACATTAAACCATGTCTGCATTTGTGATCGGAGAAATGACAAACAACAAGCCCTACTCTACACTGCCCAAAAAACTCGCTTTAAATATATAAAATATAAAAACTCTTTAAATATAAAAAACGTACTTACAGTCTTTGATTCAGAACAGCCGGCATTGTAGTCTAATCTACCAGGATCAGGAAACGGTCCTCCATAAAATGTGCTACACACATCTGAATATTTGGGTTGAAGCGTTCTGGACCAGTGCTGTAAATACAAATTCACAACATGGCGGCAGCAACAATACTACAGCCAGAATAAAAGTTACACCTTTTCTCTTTGCGTGAACATTTGGGGCGGCGTTATGCAAATCTTCCCACGTAGTGATGTAGATATGTGGGAGTGTGTTAGAACGAGCCGTTTTAGGTAGGTGTGGCTGACTCTTAACTTTTATAAAGAATATCTCTTTGGATTTGAGACTTTAGTCTTTGCAACTTTACGGATCTTCTTTATGCACCAAGAGCTTGTGACACTCCAAAGAGAAAGGAAAAATTGAAATCGCATCATATGACCCCTTTAATGTAGTCACAGAGACCAGAGCTATGTTGTTATTTTTATTTTTAACCCGAAAATGCTCATCATCTGTATAATTTACTCATAAACGCACATTTATTGCTTCTTAAAATAAATAATTACATAGCTCTAGTCTCTGTGAATACAGTCAGAGACAATGGTAGCTTTAGCCACATTAGCCGTGCTGCATGCTATAAAGCACATTCAGAAAGGTGATTTGCACACATCCACAAAATATAAAGTGCAGTACGTGTTCTGAATATGAAGTTGGATCACGAACAGTTGGTACTGATCCATCTTTGTGAATTCTATTAGCTGTGTGATTACAGGACTTAGGGGGCCGGGGGCCCCTGGGCTTGAGGTTATGTTTGGGCCCTATACCCATACACTACAAATGCCCTCAACTAAAACATCATTATGGAGTAACACAAAATACGCAAAAATTAAAAATATGAGGTACAATAAATATGCAACATGTCTAGACTAGTCAAAGTTTAGATGTAATATTAAATAGTCAGTATAATAAAATAAACAGGATGTGTTCTCTCAGTTGAGAGATCAAAACCCTGAAGTTACACTGAGCTAAAAAAAGACAGAGGTGTATTAGATTTGTGAAGTCTATTAGCTGTGTGATTACAGGATTTAGGGGGCCGGGGGCCCCTGGGCTTGAGGTTATGTTTGGGCCCTATACCCATACACTACAAATGCCCTCAACTAAAACATCATTATGGAGTAACACAAAATACGCAAAAATTAAAAATATGAGGTACAATAAATATGCAACATGTCTAGACTAGTCAAAGTTTAGATGTAATATTAAATAGTCAGTATAATAAAATAAACAGGATGTGTTCTCTCAGTTGAGAGATCAAAACCCTGAAGTTACACTGAGCTAAAAAAAGACAGAGGTGTATTAGTATTATAAAAATTAATTGTCATAGCCTATATGTGTCCTCTTATGCCAGATTCTTAAATTGAATCAATAAATTCAATCCGAATAAAAAGACGTTGGCTATTAACAATCAAATGAAATTACTATCAACAAAATCCATATATAGATTCTGCATAAATTATGTTAAGTTTTAACATTTTAATGTAGAAATATTAAATGATTGCAAAAATGAAATAATAAGCAACTTTTTTAAAATGTGAAACCACAACCGCCTGTGGCAGTTGTTTTTGCTGTTTGATTATGGCTTCAAAGGTCGTAGTTGGAAGATGTTAGCCCTGGCTGGCCCCCTTTAGCACTTGCATGCGCAGTGGAAATGCGGGCTAATAATTTCTGACATAACTGAACAAATTAAACAAACGCGAACAGGCAAAGGCGAGGGCCCCTACAAGGCGGGGCCCATGGGCTGCAGCCCAGTCAAGCCCAATGGTAAATCCAGCCATGGCTGTGTGACTCACATTCTCCAGTTTTGTTACTGGAGTATCCGAAGCATGAGCTGTATAGGCTCCACCCTCTTCTGGAAGGGGGCAGGGAGAAGCAGCTCATTTGCTTTTTAGACACACGAAAACAGCATGTTTCTGCTCACACCCAAAAAGGGTCATTTTGGGCATGGTATAATAAATGATCTGTGTATTTTGAGCTGAAACTTCATAGACACATTCTGGGGGCACCAGAGACTTAAATTGCATCTTGTAAAAAGGGGCATAATAGGTCCCCTTTAAAGAAGAGAATCTTGTTTCCACAATAAACCTCTGGTTACCACTCACATCCACTATTATATAAATAACAAACTAAATTTCCAAAACTCTAGACATTCTTTTTGAAATATTAGTTCACAGTCCCCAGGCTCTGCTTTGCAGCATATTTCAAAGACAATGGGCTATTCTCAGAGGACTACTGTGTCCCATTTGGCAAGTGTTTCATTGACACAATTATACTATCAACCTTCTTCTACACCCTTCCAGCCCTCTCATCAAGATGTGACAGCTTTATTCTTCTCACAGTTTGAATAAATTCTAAATAGCCTTCATGTTCTGTAATTAGTTCAGATTAATTATGCTGTATTTTTTATTGCTCCCCAGACTAGAAGACTTAAACTACTATTCAAATGTTTGGCATCAGTAAGATTTTGTTTTTTTAATGTTTTTAAAAGAAGTGTATTATGCAAAGCTGCATTTATTTAATCACAAATACGTTTAAACAGTAATATTATGAAATATTTTTGAAATGTAAAATAAATTTTTCCTGTTTTAATATCATTTAAATGTAATTTTTTCCTGTGATGGTACAGCAGCCATTAATCTAGTGTCACATGATCCTTCAGAAATAATCTAATATGATGATTTGCTACTCTAGAAACATTTCTTATTATTATCAATGTTCAAAACAGTTGTGCTGCTTCATATTTTTGAGGAAACTGTGATAAAGGATTTTTTTTTGACGAACTGAAAGTTCACAAGAACAGCATTTAAAATAACAATTTTTGGTAACAATGTAAAAATCTTTACTGTCACTTTTGAACAATTTAGTGCATTCTGGCTGAATAAAAGTTTTTTTTTTTTTCAAACAAAATCTTACTGACCCCAAACCCTTATATGGTATTGTCTGTGTTTAGACAAAGTTACTGAACCCTTTGACTAGTAAACAGTTCTTGTATTATATACACCAATATGACAACAATACACTGGATAGTAAGCTGGCACTGCCCCTTAAGTCCTAGGCCATCCCTTCAATATAAAAGGGGATGCCAAACTGTGCCATCTGGAGGGGTGACTGTGCCAGCCAAAACCCAGACTTGTCTCTTTCTGTTATCCGATTTTTCATATACGCAATTCAACATTTAATGGTAGTATTACCATAACCATTTGGAGAAAGTTACAGTTTACAATTCTGTCCCTCCTCATAAAATATAATGGGGAAAATATAGTGCAAAATGTTTTTGGAACATTGATTCATTTAGGAAATGTAGATGGTCTCACAGCACATGAGGTTTATGAGGCACACATTTAAAGCGAGTATGACAGACGTGTCAAACATGAAAAATACTGCTTAGCCAGCACAGGAGTTAATGGAGCTTGTGTAGCTATCCAGTAACCATTATAACTATAAAACAGCGTGCTTCAAACGCTCAGAATTGTTTAAGCATGAGAGCATTTAAAAAATCTCTAGGGTATCAAGCAACCGTTTAACATGATGGCTACAATCAGCGGGAAGCGCTATAAGTCCTTACATAAACAAACCTTTCACTGCCAATTAACTTTTCATTGTCTACAGCTATTGCTAAGTGCTCTCATTTGTGTCATATCATTTATTTGCATAAATTATTTTCTTGTTCCATGTTGTTTTAATGGCTGCAAGGTGATTAAGTTGAATTTGAAGTCTAAGTAGCTGAAGTGAAATAATATAAGTAAAAGTTTTTCCCTTGTTTGACCTGACATCGCTGTGAAAAGGTTTTTCTTATATTATTTTAATTTCTTTAAAAAGCAAACCAATCTATTACCTTCTGGCAATGTGTGAAAAAATAATTATGAAGAGATAATGAG